TCTACTGTGAGAGTTTCTCTAACCGACAAACCACCACTATGAAACTAAGTGGTGATACAACGTTTTACCTCACGTTGCCCGAGGACCATCCTATACCTTGCCGTGATATAGGAAGCTAACTTTACTAAGTGGATCCACTAGCTTAACTTTATGGATGCATCTAAAAAGTATGACCCGTTAACTCCCATGTTGGCTACATGGTTCTTATGGAGAGTTGAGTTAATATGAACTCACGTCCCCAATTCGGTGCTCGATACTACTCCCAAAATACTTTAGCTCATAATTGTTTTAAACACATTCTTTCTTTAGTTGAGATAATTACTCAAAATCTAGCCCAAAGGTTCTTTTGGAAATCATAGTCCCTTTCTTACTCAAATGTAAAAACATTTAGAAACTTCTTTGGGAATACATAGTTCCCTAATAACTTTTGAGAAATGAACTCAACTTTAAACTCTTGACTTAACTTGAAACTTAAGACTCTCTACTTAGCTTGAATCTCTTCGATCTTTGCTTGACTTGAAACTTGAGTCTAAAAATGAAGTTAAAACATTCAATAAAGACTCTTGAACAACTTTAAAACTTGCTTGACTTGCTTAACTTTTATGCTTAACTCTTGACTTCTAACTAACTCTCCTTGAATTGGATTATGAATTCAAGGTATTTGATCACATGCTTATAGATGAGTTCTTGACGTTTAAATGTACTTTGGAGTGTTGGAAACAACTAGGAAACATAAGTACAATACCTAGGAACATGCATAAGAAAGTGGGGAATGAATGGGAAAACTTGGCGCTCTGCAAGGCGCGTAGCGCCAGCCCTTGAAATTCAGAGGGGGCATGCTGGCGCTCTACTAGGCACGCCGCCCTAAGGGGGAAAGTTCAGAACCCCTTTTGGGGCGCGTTGGCAGGTGCGACGCGCCAACCCCTTGCCCAGAAAACTTGACTTTTCTCTCTTGTTTTGCCAACTCTAAACCACCCTTACTTCAAGGGTTTCAACCCCAAACACTAAGGATCCAAAAATCCCTCAACATACCATAGATTCAATTCTAAAACACAACCAAATCATGCCCCAAATCAACAAGAACTTCAACAACGCAATCAACAAGATCAACAACACAACCAACAACTTCAACAACACAACTAATCCTTCTTTGACAATAAACAAGTTTGGAGGTGGGGAAAGAACCAACCCAACCCTATGGACTCACATACCTAGTAGGGATCACCCCCGACGATATCCATGACGGAAACTTGCTTGATCTCCTCTTTCTCCTCTTCTTCTCTTCTTCACTCAAAATCCTAACTCTTACTCTTTTAAAAAGGGACAAACTTATCTAAAATCAGTCCAACACTAAAATATTACCAAAGGAAATGATTTGGGAAATGACCAAAATGCCCTTAAAATTCCCGGACGGATTTCCCCGCCAACTGCCCAACTTCCAAATGGCATAACTCACTCATACGAATTCGGAATCAAGGAAACTCGGTGGCGTTGGAAAGATTATTCTATGAACTTCGGAACCATAACTGGAACTACTCCTAAATCATCCTGAGCTAGAAGTTATGACTGTTCAAAGTTGGCCAAAAATTCACCCTTTTTTATTTTCATACTTGGCCAAATTTCCATATTTTTAAAATTATTTCCAAAAATGAAAAATTTCCAATTCTAGGCCTCTTCATAGTTATTTCAAATCGCCGGATGTTACAGTATCTCCCCCTTGGGAACATTCATCCTCGAATGAGGTTACTCTTAAGAGGCTAAGGGTGTAACATCACCCGAACACCCAACAAACAATCATGCAACAACAACAATAACATAACATGCTCACTATAATTCAAAGAGCACTAAGAAGGAAATTAGTACCTTCATCGGCATTTCCTCCGGATTCGAAGAGATGTGGATATCTCTTCTTCATATCCTCCTCAGCTTCCCAAGTAG